CCCCGCATCCTCCTCTCACCCCCAGTACCAATGCAGGGACAGTGGCCTCTCTCCCCCACCGGGATGGGGATCCCGCTGTCCAGCTGCCTGGACAAGATGTTGGCCCCCTGCCCACCAGGGCGCCTGGGCTGGAACTGGTGGTGTTGAGTCAGGGCGGCCCAGCCCACCGCCTCCTCAGCCTGGCCTGTCGTCAGCACAGCGGGCCGACCCTGGGGCAGGGAAGTGACACAGCACACATTCAGCCCGTCCCCGCCGGGAGCGGCTGTGTTCCCATCAAGGCTAACGCTGAGTCCCCCCATTTCCCAGGAGATTAGACTGGAACTAATGGGCCACAGTGCCAGGAGCCAGGGGTGCTGGGGTCAGGTCCCTGCTCTGCCTCCACCACTGTGTGACCTGGCACAAGCCCCAGTCATCCCATCTGTAAAATGGGTATAGGCATTGAAGCCTCTTAAGGATCCCTTCAGCTCTGACACCCTGCTGCCCTGTCCTTCTGGACTCCTCTGGGACGAAGACCAGTGGGTCCAGGGTCTGGGACGAAGACCAGTGGGTCCAGGGCCCTGAGCAGGCCCCAGAGATGGAAGGTCATCTGCTTGCCCCTCCCCCAGCCCCCGGGAGCCAGTGATTTATCCAGGGAAAAACCTGCCGTGGGGTTCCAACTGCATACCAGAGGCCGGGCCTGTAGCATCACGCCTAGGCTGCTGCAGCCTCTGCAAGAGAGGGGTGAGGCTGGACTGGGTTGGGCTGGGACTGGGGAGGGCCTGCCTCGGCCAGAAAAGGGGGTAGATGCTCTAGCAAGTTGTTGATCCAGGAGATGCTAAGCACCACTCCACCCCCCCCCCGAACCCCTTCACCAGGGACCCCAGGGGCAGGGGTGGATCGTGTGCGCGTGAGGAAACTGGGGGAGCACGAAGGAGAGTGAGTGGTGAAGGCTGGACCAGAACCCGGAGCTCGTGCCTGCCAGGCCAGGGGCATTAAGTTTCTTGCCCAGGGCCACACAGCAGGAAGGGCCTGGAAGCAGGTTCCACAATGCCCGCCTGGCCCCACGTCTCTCCTGTCAGGCCCCTGCCTTCCCACACTGCAGTCCTGGCTCACGGCTTGGCCCCAGGAGAATAAAAGAACTTAATGAGGCATTTATGAAATACCAGCTGTACATGAGGTGCTGAGCGGGCACCTTCCCTGCCTGGATCCTCCCAACTCCATGGCGTCAGGCATCGTCCCTTCCATGCGGGTGAGGAAACTGAGGCTTAGAGGGGCTCACAGAGGGCAGATAACTTGTCGCCAAGCCGATCCCTGGAGGAGCTGGCCCAGAGCCCAGCTCTGAGGTCAATGAGCCCCCGTTTCTCTGGAGAAGCAGCGTCTTGGATGTTCTTTCTGAGCCCTGCCCCTCTTGGGAGCCGTGGAGCCTTGCTGCGGGCCCCCAGCTTGACTCAGGGCAGTAAAAGCATTTTCACGAGGCTCCTAGACTCTGGGCTCCGGCAGGGGCAGAAGTCTGACCACACCAAGGCCTGGTGAGCACAGGGTCATGGGGGGCCAAGGCCCCTGGGACCAGGAGGGGGGCTCTTGCTGTCCCCAAGCAGGTGGTACCAGCACAGCCTCGACGCCCTGAGAGGTCCCAGGGGCGGCCCAGTGGACTGTTCCCAGGGACACACTGGAGCCCAGAGGGGCAGCGCCCGCGCAGCCTCATGCAGTGGGTCTGGGGAGCACTTCCCAGCCCGGAGCCCCACCTGCCAGGTGGCGAACCATCTGGTAACATAATCCCAGGGGTCGGCCTCCCGTCCTCTCCAAAGGCTTCCTACCAGCGGTGTTTGCGTCTTAATTGAGTCTGGGGAGTCAGAAGCGGCTCTGCCAGCAAGGAGGGCTGGCACCTCTGGGCTGGGTGCACGCCAGGCTCCTGGGGCGCCCAGGCGGTAGCCCCACCCCGGCCGGCACTGCCCTCCCTCCCACGACCCCGGGAGGCGGGGCCTGTCGTCACACTCACATCATAGATGATGATACCGAGGTTCAAAGTGCGCCAGGGCCTGCTGAAGGCCACACCAGAGTCTTGGGTGGCAGGTCTAGACTGAGCTCCTGGTCTCCTTGGTCCGGCAGGCTCGCCCTGCAGCCGAGGGTCCTCACCCTGGACCAGCAGAGGCGGGCAGTCCTCTCAGAGGCCCCTGGTTCACCCGGCCCCTTGCCGCATGACCTTGGGCCTCACATTCTTCATTTGTAAAATGGGGATCGGGCACTTGTCTTAATTAAGGCAGTAACAGTCATGAGAATGCTCAGTGCGGGGGCAGGACTGCGCCCTATTGGGACCATTTCCCACGTCCAGGCAGGCCCAGCCGGTGGGCCGCACCAGCCTTCTTCACGAGGCCCCGGTGATCCCCAGGCTCACGCCCTTCCCAGATTAAATGCCACGTGGGGCGGTGGTGGGAAGGCAGTCTTTCTCGTATCACAGGACCCCGGCCACGTTGCCCAAGTTAGCCACTCCGCCTCTCTGACCTTCCGTCCTGTCCTCCTCAGTGCCACGTGATGCCAACACCTGCCCCAAAGTTGCGGCGAGATTGACATGGAAAAAAAGCGTGGTGTCTGGCACGGATTCAGTTCTCTTCCCTCTGTCCCCATCCACGGCCCCTCTGGGAGTAGTCTGGCTGGAGAAGTGGTGAGCCCCCCATCCTGGAGGGTTCAAGCAGGGGCTCGGGAGAACACAGCAGAGAGCACGTGGGGCTCCAGTGAGCCAGGAGCCTCTGCCCTGCCGGCTGGCTCTGTGACCTCAGGCAAGTCCTCTCCAGGTCGGTCCCTGGGGGTTTAGGGTGCTCCGTGACCCCACAGCGTCTGTTGCTCTTGGATCCTGGAGAAGCTGAGCTTTTAAACATCTTCGAATTTGTGAATCTACGATTTTCCAGTTTGAAAATCCTTGGCTCGTGCCATCCTCTGAGACTGTGGGCTGGGCTGGATCCTGCGCCCCGGAAGCTTGGAGGACTCCGAGGCCCCTGGGGGCTGGCAGGAAGAGGGAGGGGCTTCTGCCCCTGTCTCATCCGCTGGGCACAGCCCTGGTCAGCTGACCGCATGCTCCGCAGCCTCTGGTCTCTGCAGCATTCCTGACTGTGGTGAGGAGGCTGACGTATCTGGGGAAGGCCAGAGACTCGCCACGGGGCTGGGTGGGACGCGCTTGCGCTTCTTGACCCCTTTCCCGCTGCAGCTCCTTTAATTGGCCTTAATGAGGCTCCTGTCTTAGTGCAGAGGGAAGGTGCCAGAGCTGATAACCGTCAGAGGGGTGGGACTACAGGTCTTCCAATCTAACTCCCCCGTGACTGAGGAGAAGGGAGGTGCTTTGCCACAGACCCCACCCGCCCGTAAGGTGGGGCAGAGCCCCGGGCACTGACTCTCCAGGCAGTGCTGATGGCCAGGGCTTAGTTTCAAGAACCAGGATGGCCTCTGGGAGGTGGCGGGTGGAGTCACAGCTAGAACCCCCTCCAAGACAGGAGCCCAGGAACGGGAAGCCTCTGCCACCAGCGGATTGTGTGGCTCTGGGACGGTGACTGCCCCCGCCCCCGGGAAAAGGGACAGCTGTACCAGCATTAGCAAGCTGGTCCTGGCTTGGGTCGGCATTGTTACCATGTACACAGACTCCCTCCCCATCTACCCAGGAGGCTGGGGCTCCCAGGAGGCCTCCTCCCCAGGCCATTCAGGTCCTGCTAGCACCAGGGTGGGGTGGGGAGTGGGGCCATGTCTCAGTGTGGGAAACTGAGGCACAGCAGCCAGGTCTGCCCAGCCCTGCTGCTGGAGGAGGGGGCTGGGGGCAGGAGGGGTGCTCTCCCTGTCTCCGCTCCACACCCCAGTGAGCGAGGGGCAACCTGAGCCTCGCTGCACCCTGGGGGCACGTGCAGCCCCTGGGGCCCCAGCCCCTCTGTCTGTGCAGGGGTGGTGACAACTCCAGTGCAGGCCGGCCTGTGTAAATTCTCTCAGCATTTGTGTCCCTGAGGAAGTCCTTATTTTCGTCTTTGGTTTTGAAAGCTGTTTTCACTGGGTAGGGAATTCTGGGTTAATCGTTTCTCCGTTTAGTTGCTCCGGTGTCCTCTGGCTTGTGTTGATTCTGAGACATCTGCTTATCTTTGTTCCTCAGTATTCGATGATCTTTTCCCTTCTGGCTGCTTTTAAGATTTTCTCTTTGTCACTGATTTTAAGTGATGTTATTATGATGTGCCGTGGTCTGTTTCTTCACGTCTCCTCTGCTTGGAATTCATCGAACGTCCTGGGCTTGGGGATGAATAGTTTCCATCAAATGTGGAAATGTTATGGCCATTTTTTTCAAATGCTCTCCTGTCCCCTCTCCCCCACCCTCTGCTTCAGGACCTCCTGAGACTCCAGTTACACATACTCTAGACCTGTGAAGTTGACCCAGGTTCACTGATGCTCTGGTCTCGGTTGTTCAGTCTCTTTTTCTCTGTGTTCTACTGATGGGTCTTCCGGTTCACTAATCCTTTCTTCTGTAGCGTCTAATCTGCTATTAATCCCATCCAATGTATTTGTCATCTTAAATGCTGAATTGTTTCACTTCTTGAGTTTCAATTTGGTGTTTGTTTTAAAAAACCTTCCATGTCTCCAAGTAACTTTTTGAACATACAGAATACGGTTATAACTGTTTACCCATCTTTGTCTGCCAGTTCTAACATCTGTATCCATTCTGGGTCCACTTTGGTAGACTTTTTTCCTCATGTGGATCATTGTTTTCCTGTTTCTTTGTGTGTCTGGTAATTTTTGATTGGATACCAGATGTGATGAAAATTTTATGTTGTGGGAGTTTTGTTTTTTCCTTTAAACATTTTGGAGCTTTGTTCTGGGATACAGTTCTTGGAAACAATGTAACACTTTTGAGGCTTGCTGTTAAGCTTTTTGTGTGTGTGTGTGGTATGTGGGCCTCTCACTGTTGGGGCCTCTCCTGTTGCGGAGCACAAGCTCTGGACGCGCAGGCTCAGTGGCCATGGCTCATGGGCCCAGCCGCTCCGCGGCATGTGGGATCTTCCCGGACCGGGGCACGAACCTGTGTCCCCTGCATCGGCAGGCGGACTCTCAATGACTGCGCCACCAGGGAAGCCCTGTTAAGCTTTATTAGGTGGGACCAAAGCATATTTGGTCCAGGGAAGGTGTTGGCAAACTATGGACCAAATCTAGCCTATGCCTGCTTTTGTAAATAATGGAACGGAGATGTATACATTTGTTTATTAGCTGTTTGTGGCTGTTTTCAGAGTTGAGAGGTGTGTCAGAGACATGTGGCCTGCAAAGCCTGAGACATTTGCTATATGGCCTTTATAGAAAAAGCTCACTGGCCCCTGGTGCAGGGCCTGTTTGCCCACCATGTAGGTCGTATCCTTCTGAGAATCCTCCTGTGTGCCCTGAGTGTTAGAGGGGCCTGCGCTCTGGCTGTGGGGACGTAAATGACTCCTGGTCCCGTGTGAGCACCGGCCGTTGCTCCTTTCCAGTGGGCCTGTCCCAGCCTCGGTGGCACCTTCCTCTTTGTGTGCTCCTCGGTCTCCAGCTGAAGCCTCAAGAGGCAGCTCCCTGCAGGTCTCTGGCCTTTGCTCTGTGCAGCCCTTTCCTCTCCTCTGTCCTGAAAATTCTGGCTGCCAGGCTCTGAGCAGGCTTCGTCTCCTCAACTCAGGGAGCCCACTGGACTCGGCCGTGGCCTGGAGGTGGCTGGGGCGGTCCTACAGCTGACCTCGCTCATCTCCCTTCTGCCAGGGGTCATTGCACTTGCTGTGCTGCCTGTTGGCCATGGCTTCATAGACTCTGCCTGGTGTTTATTGCTAAGGCAGGTGGGTAAGTGTAGTCTCCGTTATTCCGTCGTGGCTGGAAGTGGAATCCCAGGTCTTGAAGGCACTGTCCCCACCTTAGGACAGTGTGCAGCATGCCCTATGTGTTCCTGTGCGTCACTGCCCTCCAGCTGGCACAGAGGGAAGCAGGAGACGCTGAGGTGATGACCCCCGGCCTGTCCACCCCGAGGGCACTGTGGGTCAGTGAGGAGGCAGGAAAGCCACCGCTGCCGTCTGCTGAGCGCGGCTCCTGGGCCCGAGCGGCTTCCCAGGAGGACAGTCTGGAGCCCATGGTGCCACCGTCCTGTGTCCATCTGAGCCTTAGGGTCAGACAGACCCAGAGATGCGGACCCACTTCCTGCTTTTCCAGGTGGTGAAAGTGGCCCAGTGAGTGCCAGGGACTTGCCTGCTGTGCACTGTGTCTGCGGTGACCTCTGGGCGCCAGGGCGGGTGGGGTGTGTCTCTCCCCTTCTGCTGGGGAGCACCGTGAGGGGAGAGACCCCGGCCGGCTCCCTCTGGGCCTCCTGCAGGCGTCTCCGTGGCCTTGGAGGGTGGGGCAGGCAGGACAGGTACACAGGGAAACTGCCCACGCCGACCTGGGTCTCAGGGTCCGGGCCTTGGGGAGACGGCATGCCACTCGGTGGGGTCGCTGCCGTTTCTCCAGAAACACAGACGTGGCACTTGCTTGTGGCAGCATTTGAGTCAGGGCCTGGAGGACGGGAAGGAGTTACTGGCTTGGAGGAGGAGAGGGAGGCACCCAGCCGGGAGGACTGTGTGTGCGGCCGCAGCGGGGTGTGGGGTGTGTAGGGAGGGCCCGTGGGGTCGGGGCCCCCGTGGGGTCGGGGCCCCCGGGGAGAGATGCTGCTGCATATGCTGGGCCCGTGGCCAGTGGTCTTCCAGCTGCGTGCAGACCCCTGGCCACCTCACCCCTGCGCCTCGTCCTCCAGCCCTGCTCTGCCCACTGGTCCTGTGAGCATGTCTCTGCTCCAAGATGGATTCTGTGGTCATGGGGAAGGGGTGCCTCTAAAGCGGCTGTAGGGGCGCTGGAAGCCTCAGGCTGAGTGTCAGCCTGGCGAGGCGGGAGCCCCAGGTTGGTGGTGCAGAGGGAGGTGGGGTGTGGTGGTCAGAACTGCCTCTCCCAGACCCCTAGACACAGCCAGGTGCTCCAGCCGGCCCAGACAGGCTGTGCGGGGCACCCGGGCAGGACACACGGACTCAGGGCTCCCTTGGCATGGACAGCCTTGGGTATCACATCCACCTTCCTCCCCATTTCACAGATGAGGAAACTGAGACCCAGAGAGGATGCAGCTCACCCAAAGCTAGACCCCAGCCTGGACCCCAGAGCTCCAACTCTGTCCTTGCCTGGGTCCTGGGGAGGATGGGGGCACCCACTTCAGCAGCCCTCACCCCTCCACCAGCACCAGCAGCGGGTGTTACAGGGCTTCAGGCTGTGTCTGCTGGGGCGGCAGCCACAGGTGGGGGGTTGCTGCCCCATGCGCTGGAGCCCCCCAGGAAGCACCTGGGCGATGGAGGTGCTCGTGGCGGGGCATCACCATGAGTCTGTCACCTCACTGTCCATCACCTGGGGCCGGTCCCCTCCCCTCTCTGTGCCAGCGTCTGCATCTCTCACGGGGTGGGGTGTCTACCATCCCAAGGAGATTTGGGGGATTCTGGAACCATCAGTGGGAGGATAGGTGGGAGGACGCAAGGAGGCCGCAGAGCAGCCCCGGCTGCACAGAGCGAGGCGGGGGTTCGGGACCCACGCGGGAGGCAGGGTGGAGAGGCCGCGGAGCTGTTGGTGGCAGGGTGGGGAAGGGAAAGGGAGGTGTGGGCGCCGCTGGAGGGTCACGTTTTGAGGGCCTGCCCATCCAGCACACCCCCAAGAGACACACGGGGAGGGCTTCGGGTCTGAGGCATGTAGAGCTCAGTGCCGATGCCAGTCCCTGCCTGGGCCCCTCTGCTCTGGCGCCACCCGGCCCCGCGCTGTCGGCCCCCTCCCGGCACGGCCGCCCTCCCACAGCCCCACCACCCTGCTGCTCTGTGCGGTTAGAACCAGGAGGGTTGTCGTGGCTGTGTGGCCCCTCCTGGTTCTGTGGCTGCACCTCTGAGAGGGCTTTCACGTCAGGCATGCACAGGGACCACTGGACTCCCTCCTTCCCTCGGGAACGGGGCTGGGGGGCTGGTGCTGCGACGCCAGGCTGGAGTGCGGGACACACACCTGCCTGCCGTCCCGCCCCTGGGAAGCGGGCATATGGTCCGGGCGCTCACACGGGCGAGCCTCGGGCTGCCCGCCTTGTGCCCGCTGCGGTCTCCTGACCCACGTGGGGTGGGGACATCCCCAGATGCCAGCCTCCCCGCCGTCTTTCCCGCAGTCTTGGCCCTGGCCTTGCCCGGGGCCTCCGCGGGATACGTGTGGGCTGGCGTTGTCCTCTGGGCGGGACTAGTGTCTGTGCTCAAGCCGCGGATGTGTGAGCTGGACAGAACACAGGAGCGGGCCAGGCGGACACCCCATTTGGCAGATGGGGAAAGTGAGGGTCTAGGAGGGGCTGTGGCTTCTCCCAGGCCCAGCCATTTGGCACATTGAGTTGACAAGCACTCCCGAGGCCGCCTTAGGCCGGGCCGCGTGCCGGGCCAGGGCGGGGGCGCTGTCTTTGAGGACCTTGCGGAGTCACGGGCGAGCCGGGCCACCCAAACAGGTAATTAGACAAGGGAGTGAATCCCTCCGTGCCTCAGTTTCCTCGTCTGTAAAATGGGAGTAATAACCGGTGCCTCGCGGCGTTTTTGAGGACTGGACGCGGTAGCGGTAGTCAGGCGGAAGGCTCTGCGGGCAGGGCGCAGGG